TGCACCAAATTGGGAAATAAAGCTTTAATAACTTTAGCAATTTTGTTGGCATCGATATGGCGGTAAAACTCATCTTGCAAATCAGCCAAATACAGTTTAGTGACGCTCAAAAATGGTTTCAAGTTCGTGTAATCGACCCTTTCATCTTGAGATGCTATTTCTCCACTACGAACTGCAAGCATATCTTCACGAGTGAAATCCTTTCTTATAACGAGCCTCATTAAGTCGAGGTTTTTAGCTCTAAGCTCAGTTATACTTATGAAAGTCTCCATTACCTCAACTAAGCTTCTCCCATTTGGACAGTTCTGCAAGTCTAGCCTTGTTACTCATTCCGGTTTCAAAAATGTTTTGATAAAATCTCCCGATTCTATCAATTTAGTATCTAAATAATAGTCTGTATGATCATTCAAAATGCATAGATTCAAAGCACTTAGTAAAGTGATAACAGAAGGCATATACTTTTCAAACAGATTCAGCTTGAAACGTCGAATAGTTGGCTGTATTATAATCGAAAACTCCTTGAAAAAAGATGCAAGCAGCTTGGCACTTTTTTCACTCTTGTCGTAAGTTCGCAAATCCAAGTTGACCTCGTCAAATTTCCAGTTTGTATCGTCTCGGATTATGCGCAGAAAATTTCTGAGCTTATGGAATTTCGGAAACCGCTTCCAACTGGGAAAAGTAGCAAAATGAAGCCTGAGAAAAATATGGCTACTGTTCACTGATTCGTATAAACTTCTACTAACTGCTCGAAGAGATAGTACATCTTTTAGAGCCAGGTGAACAAGGTCTTCCGATCTTTTCACTAATAATTGACAAATCTCGGTCAATACATTTGTCGGAATGTCGCTAAGGTTATACTTTTGTGTGTCTTTTTTTGTTTTAATAAACTCTGTAAACCCGAACTCAGATTCTGGCTCTTGGTGTTCAAAAAAACTTTCTTCGCCGTTCACATCACTATTGACTTTAAATTGTTCAACGTGTTCTTCTTTTCCTTCCGCTTTTCCGGCTACTCCCTCATTTTTAGATAAAACAATTTCCATTATTTCAGTTTAAAATACCAGTTTTCAGACAGCACTAACAAAAATCTGAATAAAATTCAACATCAATTTCGCTTGAACTTTTTTCGCTTGAGCTTGGCTCCACTTGCGATACAAAATATAAGCCATATAAAAAAAATCGCTAAGGTACGGTACGGCACAAGCTAAGGGGTGACCATGCAAGTAATCAGAAGGTCAAAAGTATCATAGTAACCGAGGTTACAGTTGTGCCAGTCGGTCATATATTATTATTATTATTATTATTATTATTATTATGGATTCACCTATTAGAGCTTGGGTGTTTCCACCCTTAAGTTTCAGCGTCATGCAAGTTTCCATGTCGAAATATCGTTGTATCTATAGTTTGTCATGAAGTAATTCCAGAAGTGCTTCAGTAGTCGTGGTTTGAGTCCCTGATGGTTGGAGTAGTCGATTGAATTTGGTAAGATGTTCACAAGTTTGCAGGTTCTGAGCCAAAACTCCTGTTGGTAGATAGATTTCTTTATTTTCGGCAGTTCGAAAAAAGGTTTCTCTGATAACCGGGTGGCTCTGTCGAATTCCTTTAAAAAAAAATACTCTGTGGCATCAATTTTATAGTAACCATTCAACATCTTGGACATAAATAGTAGATCCAATAATTGCATATACAAGGTCAGCGGTAAAATGTTGCATTGCATCAGATTTGTTACGTAGTCGTTCCGGCCATTTACCCATGTCAGTGCTTTCTCTTGCACTTTTTCGATCAATCTGAGCATTTTAATGCTTGCTGCCCAGCAACTTGACCCATATAACAGCACTTGTAAAATCATCGATTTAAATATATTAAGTTTCACTCGCATTGGTAGTCCCTTTGGAGTGTTTCGTTTCAGCATATAAAAGGTCTTAAGGGCTTTGGATATATTATTGCTTATAGTTTCATTCCATTTCATAATCCGCGAGACTAATAACCCAAGATCTTTCTGTACTTCAACTTCCGGTATTGCAATATTATTGAAAGTCATTTGGTTGCATTCACCTGTAAAGCTCATGTAAGAGCATTTACCAACATGCAGCGTTTGTTTGTGAGATGAACTCCATTTGAATACTCTGTCTAGATCAGTTTGAAAAATGTTGCTCTGTTGATTGATGTTAATGAATTTGACATCATCGGCGCATATGAGAGGTGTAGAGAATTTACATTGCGATGGTATGTCATTTATGTAGATAAGAAATAAGATGCTTGCTAATATTGACCCTTGTGGGACACCACTGTTTAATAATCTTTCTGTGGATAATTGATTTTCTACCCTTATTTTGTGGGTACGTTTGGTAAGATACGAGCGGAGTAGTTTGAGCAATTTCCCACTTATACCGATATCTTGAATTTTGCGCAGCCATAATTGATGGTCTACTCTGTCAAATGCCTTTTCGTAATCTGTGTACACAACTTCTACAGATTTTCCATCATTGATTGCTTTATAGACCTTGTTCAGATAAACAATCATTTGAACTAAACATGATCGTCCTTTGCGGAAACCGTATTGCTGATTGGAGATGAGCGGCTCGAAAAATTCGTAGATGTCGAGGAACATACATCGCTCAAGAATTTTAGATACGATTGCAAGTAACGAAACCGGTCTGTAGTTTTCCACCATATATTTACACGATTTCTTATGAGTCGGGTTAACGATCGCGCATTTCCAATAGCTGGGGAAAATGCAGGTTTGTTTGATCTTATAGAAAAGAACATTTAGCGATTTAGCGATGTTTTTTGAGCAGTTCTTATAAAGAATTGCGGGTACTTTATCTGGGCCACTTGCTTTTGTACAGTCCAGAGTTCTGCAGATGTTTTGTATGCGTTGCTCCGAGATATCAAAATCATCTAATTTCGTGGTTGATAAGTTTTGAGGCTCACCAAGACTTGGAGGATCGGAGGGTTTTGAGAAATTATCGTCAAAGAAATCGGCAAAAAGTTCCACTTTTTCGGCATTTGATTGAGCTTCTTTGCTACCATAAATAAGTTTTGATGGTATTCTGGACGACTTAAATGTACGGTAAAATTTGAAAAGCTTATCAGTTGATCTAGAATCAGATAGCTCTGATTCAAAGTTAATTTGGTCTTGTTCAACGGCAAAATCGCATTCTTTTTGTAGAGATAAAACACGGTTGTGCAGAGCTGGGTACTTTTTCTTAGTGGTGTTCAATTTCATGATGATATTGGATGTGGATTGGGTAATCCATGGCGCGAGTCTGGCTCGATGCCTTGTTCGAGTAGGGACATGGCGTTCGATTTTGATGTTCAACCATTTATACCAGACCAACAGAAGCTTTGAAAAGGGTTGTCTATTATATCCGCATTTAAGGCTTTAAAATCGGCTTTACAGTAGCTGAACATTTTCGACTCATTGTGGTATGATCGGAAAACATTGTTTACTTTTCGAATTTCAAACTTTGCTGTAATTGGAAAATGGTTTGACATGCTTGAAATGGATAAGGGTTTGACTTTCGTTGAGACGAGATTCAGTTCACCTTTTGAGAATAAGAGATCTAAAGTACCCGTAGCAGCTGTTGGGAAATCTATATGTTGTTCTAGTTCAAGGTGATCAACTACATCAAGGAAACTCTGAGATTCGCAATTTTCGCTACTTCTGATGTTCCAGTCGATATCCAAGTTGAAATTGCCGTAGATTATTGTTGCATCAACCTGTGACATCAATGTTTCAATTTCTTTAAAAATTAATTTGATCATTTCATCGTTAAGGTGATAGTGGCTGGTTTGCCGTGGATTGTAGAAGCTAACAATTAATATTTTTCTGTTCTGAAAATTTACTATGCACCCTACAGCAGCACCTTGGCTTTCTTCAGGTAGTGATATTTTTTGACAATGAAATGAGTGCATAATTCCAATCATAACGCCTCCGTGCTTTGTCTGACCTTTAGGAGCTTTTCTATCAGATCTAAATAGTTGATAAGACGGCAGAAAAATTTCGCTATCTTCCTGTTCATCGGTAAGCCAAGTTTCTGATATTAGAATAATGTTGTAGTTCTGCGAGGCAAGAAATGATGAAAGCTCCACTCTACGCTGAAGAAGGTATATACTTCTGATATTGAAACATAATACATCTTAATCTTCCGTAGTACTTGATAGTCAATCAATTTTGGTTTCGTGTCCATTGACATGTAATTTCAGTCCTATTATGCGAACATATCTTTTGTGGTTGTTCCGTCGTTAATCAATTCTCTTCTTTTCATCAATAATTTATTTTCTATTTCTTGTTCCTCTTTATTCAAACTTTTAGATATAAACACTTTTGATGCTCCCTCGAAGGTTTTCAGCTGCTTTGCTTTCGCTAGAAGTTTTCTCGCAGTCCAGGTATTGTTCAGTCGCAGTAAAATAGTACGAGGGCGTTTTTTGTCTTTGTCAAATTTTCCCAGACGTTTTAAGTCGGCGATACAGTTTGTTTCTTCCCCTAGGTGGTTAAGCACTTTTTCAATTTCATATGAATGATGAGACAAAATTTCGTCTTGAGTTGCAATTATATCTTTGCCATTTGCGTCTTTCTTCCGTGTATATTCCTTTATTCCATTTACTCTAATTTCTAAATTATTTTCGTTGGGTGCTGGCGTTGGGTTGGAAGTTATTAGTGACGTAGAATTATACTTAGCTTTATTGAGATCCTCCTTCAGTTCTGATATGGTTGCCTTAATGATTCCAACGGCCTCATCCATGGACTCGTTTCTGGCCATCAGTTGTTTTACGGGGTTAAGACAATGGTCACAAAACCATTTGATTCCTTTCACAACATCGAATAGGTTGAGGGCCTCCAGCGGGACATCAGTACATTTTTGGTGTAGCCAATTGTCGCATTTGTCGCATTGGATTGCTTGTTCCTCTTTGTCCTTGATTTTTCTGCTGCAGGACCCGCACATTGAATTACTTGCACTTGCAAGACGCTTGTTGCGTGCCATATCAAATTTGAAACTATTTAATAAGTTTATCACAACAATTAGGAAGTTTGACCTCAAGCAATATGAACAACGTAATTTTGGGGTGAAATGTAATTTTTCAAAAATTCGAATCGAGCCTGTCATGCTCAATTTTCTCGCGACAACTACAAATTTCAGAAATGCAAGATCAGAACAACCGAATTACAATCGCGGGAAAGTGGTCGAAAAAAGCAGCACGAGAGTAGAGCTGTCCTATCCTGAAATAGGAGACCATACGATTACGAAAGAAGAGTATATTGATTCGAAGTGGACCAGAGTGAACCTTCGGTGGAAAGGTGGACAACCGAGGTCTCCCAATGGTCCAGCCCAAAACTTTAGTTCTCAAGTGAAAACTCATTTCCTTTGTTGGAATTTATTAATAGCTAACTTCTCAAGTTATTACATTTATGCTAGAGTCGCTAGTAAACTTAGTTACTCCAATTCTCGAGTGTGCTGGTATGTCAGTACCCAATTTAGTTTTCTTGAGTGTGTTTTATAATTGTTATGTTGAGATAAGGAGATTTTTAGGTTGAACAATCTGAAATGGATCAAAGTTCCACTGTCTAATAAAAAGTAACTGTACGGACTGTTCTGACACTTTTTTTAACGGCGTTCGCGAATTTTGGGTGTTTTGAGACCTAAATGTGGGGACGGTCTCATTTTGAGACCTAAGTTTGAGACCTCAACGTTTAGCTTCTCATAAGCTGAAAATGAGCTCGGTGTTAATTTACTTCAGTTCAGGACATTCCAGGAAGCTAAAAATTATTTTAAATTAAGTTTTTAATTGCGATAGATTACCTCCGGGTTCTTAATCCGGATGAAGAGATGTCTTCTTCTAAACCAGGAAGGGTAGCAATTTCTCCCTTGTGCCTTTCTGATTCGTGGGACCTGCTCTGTAACGACTGTAGCTGAACAATCATTACAACTCGGAGCGCTCTTCTTCGAATATTGACGACTGTATTTTTTCTCGTCTGCTATACCTATCACATGTATCATTCTGATTAGCGGAAACCTTCCATCTGATTTTCGTTTTTTCATTTGTCGCGAAAATTAAAATTAATACTTGTCATGCACGCCTAAATCAAAAACTTGGAAATAACCCTCTCTGTCCCACTTGACCCCTCGGCGTTGGCCTATTTTGGCAAATAAGACCGTCAATCGTGAAAATCAACAGACCAAAACTGCTCCAGTTAAAATTCGTTGGTAATATGAATATCAGGTCATTCTGGTCGAATGAAACATTTAACTCGGGTTTAATCTGTGCCGAAGTTACTTTTCTCAACCTGGCTGGCTTGACATCCAACTCTCTCTGGCTGTGCACTTTCTTTAAAATTGTACTTTTCCATGTATTTACATTCCGAGGATTATTTGAATCGGTGAAACACGGTTTCCTCGGATGAATTGACAAACAAGTCGAAATTCCAGACTCATGTCCAAACTTTAGCGATAAAATTTTGGCATGTCCAGAATTTCCAGACCAAAATTAGGCATGCCCAACCTGGCCTTTTCAGACTCTTGCTACCATGATGATCCGTCGCGACTATCGCGACCGAAGCGGAGGTGGCGCGACCAAAACATCACGACTCATATTTGCAGAATAGCAGCAACTAATATGACGCATTTTTCTGGGAGGAGGAGTTAGCTGTCAGCATCACCGCATGATTTTTTGTTCTGTTTGACAGACAGTTTTAGTAATTTACGGTAACTTAACTGAGAAACATAATAGTTTGTGTTCGTGGATAGGATTGAATTTTAGCTTCACTAAATTTAGCTTCACAATTAATTGCCCGGGTTGACCCCCATACACCGAAAATGCTTATCATACAATTCCATACAACAAAAAACATTATCATACAAATCCATACATTAAGTGTATGGAGAAAATTCTTGTCATACAATTTTCATACATTTTCGAAAAACAGTAGAAAAAAAATTAAACCATTGTTGCGGCTTTTTGAGAACAATTGAACAGGCTGATGACAAAAAAAGCTGATTTAAAATTTGTTTTTTGAAAAAATTGCTTTCCATACAATTTCCATTTTTGGAAATGGTAAGACTGGCATTTTTTGATAGAGACCCAAGTAGTTTTGAAAATTTGCCCCAAAAAACTTTTTGTTTTTTTTTAACCGCAAATCGAATTTTGTACGCAAAAAGACATTTTTCGAAAAAAATTGTTTTTGCATGCAAAATTTAATTTTTTGTGTGCATAACGTAGTTCTGGGTACAATAATATTGGCTTTTTTTCTTTTCACTTAATTTTTTTTTCAAAAACGCTGAAAATTCCTATATCTTTTTTATGGCGTGTTTATGTATGCCTTGATCAATGTCTGATAACTTGAAAATTCAAAAATTTAAAATAATGATTACTGAAAAGTTTTGCCAAAAATTAAAAGTTTGTTACTTTTGTTATATCATTTGTGAAAGACATCTGGAAGACAATTCAGGTCGTTTTTTATGCATTGTAAAAATAAGACCGTCCAACTTTTGGTGCTTTGAGTAACCAACGTCTTTGTCACTTGTGTTCGGTTGCAAACACAACCCAAAAAATTTCAGAAAATAAATTTAGAAACAAAAACAACTTTTTGGTTTATGGATAAAACACCTATTATACAATTTCCATATATGGGAAAATGTTCATTAAGAGTTTTCATACAATTTTCTGTACGCATGGAATTGTATGAAATTGTATGAAAAGATTTTTCCATTTCTGAGAGTTGTATGACAAGCATTTTTGGTCAACCCGGGTGGTCTAGGTGCTCAACTACATTTGATTGATTGGTGCACTAAATTTTTGATTGGTCCAATTAACTTTTCGGAATCCATGGTCCCAGATATATTCATTCCATCCAGATCAAGTGTGCCAAAAGTGTAGTAATTTTCGAAGTTATATTAACGTTTTACGTTTCCCTAATACACCTGTGGACAAAATTAAACGCAAATTTCGGTTTATACTCTCCAAAATGCCTTTTTTAGGATCCATTCTGGACAAAATTCATTCAGAATTCTACCGAAAATGTTACATCGACCTGCTAAAAATGATCTAAATTACACCCGTAAGTTTTAAATTTTGATTTGAAGCACTTAGCAGTTTTTTCCATGTCTGAAAATGCCAGTTTTCACAATTTGTCTTGAGGTTTCTATGGGAGTGAACACTTTTTTTTGAATAAGCGGAGTAGTAATAACTGATCAAGCGATGTGAAACTTTTTATACGAGTAATTTTCACGGTTCAGTGTGATAAATTTCCCAAGCGCTGTTGTTTCATATAACTTCACAACATTGGGAAAAATGCTGACAACTGCCTTTTCAGACCTGCAAAAAGCTGGTAAGTGATTCAAGTTAAAAAATGAAACGTTCAGAGAGTGTGACTTCGATCATTTGCAGCAAGTCGATAAAAAATATTGGAGAATTTCTGAAAAAATTTAACCGAAATGGACCTTAAGAAAAGCCACTTTTAAGAGTTAAATGTAAATTTGCGTTTAATTTCGTCCAGTAGTGTAATTGAAACTTCAATGATTACAATCGTGTAACGCACCTCGGGTACATCAAACAGATTAGTGAACATGAAATATGCTTATTCTAAACTACATAGGAAAAACAGTCAGATGTAGGCAACCGTAGAAAAAAGTGAAGTACAACAACGCTTTTGGTATTAAAAATTAGAAAATAGAAAAAAAGTTTGACTTGAAGTTGTTTGAAGCTAATTTGGTCAATTTTCCAAAACTAAGAGGTTTCAGATTTTTGTGAACGAAACGATAAAACGGCCGATAGCATACAACTGCACTTTCCACATTTAGAAAAAACTGAAACATTTCCAATTTCAAAATCATGCAATTCATAAATAGGATTCATATTTCATCATAAATTAGTTTTAAAAACCAGACACTTTTTTCTTAGTTTAAATGTAAGTCAAATGCAAAAATTTGAGCGATGACATTGGGATCAGAGAGAAAAAGCATTTTTGGCATATCTCAAAAATAAGATGATTCAAGCAACGATTTTTGTAGGCAAGATCTGCAAGCTCTGAAAGTACCCAGAGAAAAACTCCACTGTAGGTTTGAGATTTTCAAAGTTCTACGACTTTTTTCATAATAATTTCTAAGCTGGTACTTTTGAATTTATAAATTATTATTGTCAAACAGTAGTTAACTGTGGATGATATCAGAAGCCAAAAGATACAGGTACGAACCTAAATGTTAGAAATTGAGCCTTTTTCATTCCAAAAAAATTGTGACCGAAGAAACGTATTGTATCTCGAGACCCCGAAAAGACCATAGGTGAGGGCAAAAACAAAAAAAAGTTGGCTGAGAATGGGAAAAGCTTTGTCTTTATGGTCCAATATTGAGGGAATCACAGTTAGACATTCGCAAAAAAAAGGCGCGATATCACCAATACGCAGATAATATCCACCAGGATAATGAGAACTTGTATGCCCTCGTTAAACTTCTCCTTTTCCAGTGAACTGAAATCGAAAGTGAAGTACAGACTAGAATGTTGTAGGTGCGAATTCATCTAGGTTGGCTAAACAGTCCGACATCTCACCACAAGGATTGAGGAACACAGAAAAGAGGATACACCAGTTGAAGAGCATAAAAGGCAGTGTAGTAGTGATACTAGCAAATTGGAGTTTGATTGGAAGATAATCGACCATGCCGCAGACTGCATTAAGTAAATCACATTAGAAGCGTAGCCCATTAGAAAAGAGAGGACGGCAATTAGTACGCGCGACAAGTTTAGAAGTAGGGAGCTGACGAAAAATCTATAAATCCAAAATGAAAAAAATTTGCCTGAACAAAAATTTTGAAATCAGTTTCAAGTTGGCATGAAATTGTTAGCATCAAATATCTACACATATTTAAGTTTTTTTTTTAAAACTTAATTTTTGATAGCCTAGCAGATTTAAGCAAAAAAACTTTTTTTTCGTGTTTTGGCGTAGTAATGTGACAGTCCTGAGAAGAACCGTCTTCAACTGGGGGTTTGAGAAGAACAGTTTTCGTTGCAATCATCAAAATAT